CCCGCAGCGCTGCCCGCCGCGGGGCACGCGTGGCCGCCGGCTGCACCTGGCCAAACACCCACGGGGCCGCTGCTGGGCTCCCTGCTGGGCTTGTCTCCCCTCTCCCGCCTCCTCCTTTTTCTAATATATCCTCTTTTAACCCTTAAAAGTTTTTCTTGTCAACAGCCACAGTGTATGGCATCTCCCCCATCTACTGGCACAATGCAAATACATCCAGGAATTACCCTGCCTTCCTCCTTCGAAACAGGGCCTGGCACCCGCTCCTTTAATTGGTGTGGGGGGGGGAGGAAAGCAGTAAATAAAAACGCTCCTGGAAATGGGCCCATCCTCTTGGGCCTGCCAGGTAGGTAGCTCAGCACGAGGACGGACTGTGGTCTCTGCCCTTAAAGTTCGGCTCCACCTACGTTTTGTCGTGGCACTTCATGCCAAGTCCAGCCATGCTGCAGACTTTACTTGTAATCGCCTTTAAATACATTCAGTCTTTTCAAAGATGAATGGAATGGCTGTATTTCTAATATTTCTTATTCTGAATAGTAAAATATTTAGTTTTAAAAATGGGTTAGACTTGGAGGCGGTTAAGCATAAAGGTATGTTTAAAAGGTATACATACCTTTTAAATCAATTATAGCATTCTGAAACGTATTATCTGTTAACTTTGCAAAGAGCTCCTATAATTGAATTAAATTTGAAATTTCAAATTTTCCATTCTATCAATCCCCACTGTTTATTTTTGTCAAAGTTTCTTTTAATGTTTCTTCTGATTTCAAGTGTCTAACACAGAGCCAAGATGGAGCAGGAAACATTTTTTAAAAAACAGGAAATCAGGATTGTAAACACTGTGGTGTGCCCCTTGGAAAATCAGCTAGATATAATACTTGAAATTACATTTACTTTTTTTGTTTTTAATGACTAGGCTTCAGGTCGGTAATCTCCCTTCATAGGGACTATTCCTTTTGCTAACATTAATGTTTAATATTGCTATTCGCTCTGAGCGAGCACCTCAGCAATCTCAAGCGAATAGACCATGAGACGAGGTCCATCGGAGCATATTGTTCCCGCCGTGGAATGCTTTTGAAGATGGGGATCGCTCGCTCTGAATCCTCTAAAGTTCATTCTGAGTTCTGGGCAAAGCGCCAGCTGCTTTCAGCGCCAGGCAAACCTCCGTGGAGTCGGATTATGCTGCTAGGAGATGCTCCGCTCTCCTATCCCTCCTATGGCAATCTCATATTTCCAGAAGGGGAGAAAAGATAAGGTCCATTCTCCCTGGCGATGCTTGGAAGTGGAAGGAGCAGAGCCTCAAAAGCATCGGACGTGTCCCCTAGGCTGACAAGGACGTGTCACAAGTTAATTTGCAGGACGGGTCGTTACGTGCAGCCTGCCCCTCCAGGCACTGTTGTCGCTTGGGTTCAGCAGCCTGCACACACAAGTTCATCTCCATCTCATATACCTCCAGTATGTATCTTTCAGTGTCTTCACGTCCTCCCTTAAACATCCTTTCTCAAAAATTGTGCCTGTATGACAACTGCAAACGCTCTGGAAATGCTCTCCATGCCTATAACAACAGCATTTAAATGAGAAATGTGTTTGTTTCTGTGTGTTCTGTGGCCACTGCAGACCAAACTGACAGCTGAGCAGGTCAGAACAATAATGTTTGTGTAACTGTATTTCTACAGATTAAACCAGAGGAATGCAAACCTGAAGGCCAATTTCTGACTTGCCACGCAAGAGGAGGTCTGTAGGAAGACACTGTCCTCAGGACAGTCACCGTATTTGAGAGCCCACCTTTTAGCAGAAACTATGGATGCATGCAGACACCTATGCTACCACCATGGCTAAGTGGATTGCTTATATAGCCATGTTTATTATTAATAACGCTCAGCTTTTGCTCAGCATCCAATAAAATTATTTCCAATTACTTTCTTTTTGCCTCAGTATCATACAGCACACGCGGCATTATACACCATCATGTGGCTTTATACATCTAATGTGACAGCCATGCTGCTTTTTTTTCTTTCTGTGATTACACAGAACTGCTAGGAAGAACAATTATATTGAGTGTATCCTATTTAGTAATATCAACAGATTGACAGAGCCATCCTCTTGGTAATGAGTGATTGGGAACAGAGCATCTTAACATCTTAATAATTACTCAAGATGTTGTTCATGTGGCTAAATATCCCTTGCAATCTGAGCACTCCTGGCCTGATTTCAAACACAAAGCTAAGCATGTTCATCTCCCACTAGAGCTGTTTCTCAGCATGAACATACTCAACTATGGCCTTTCTTGCATCTTCATTAATATAACACCCGACTGGATTAATTTTACTGAAAGATAATATAATTTGTATAATTGTGAAAATACATTTTCTGCTAAACATTTAGTCCTACTGATTAATAGGTGAACTGGCTAGATGTTAATCCAATGACACTTTGTGGTTTATGTTGAAGAAGTGTTTCGTTTTTAAGGCTTCCACTGATAAGCACATATGAGGCTGTAGAAAGAACAGCTATGCTGAGCTGCTCTTGCTCAGAGCAGCTACCTAGCTCGAAGGCCTGGCTCAAGCCTAAATCCTGACGGCCTGAAGCACATCACTTAGCCAAGCTGGAGAACTCCTCTCCTGGGCTCTCACTTTCTGGGAGTGCTCTGAGCCTACCTGGACCTTGCAGGACTTGCAGCAGGAGCATCGGAGCCCGACCAACATGTAGAGGGGCAAAACAGCAGCAGCAACAATTGGGACTGATCGTGTAGTGTGAACAAATGAGAGCCTTTTGTAGAAGTCATGCACATTCATCTCCAAGTAGTTAGACACTCTCCATGGATGTGGGAGACCTACTAGAGTCTTATCTCATCTTAGCCAGGTTATAGTCAGAGCTAAAACTCAATCTTCCCTATTGCAGCTGAGTTGGCTGCCAGCCACACTATACTATTGACCTCCCTTGGTCTCTAAGATAATGATCAGCTCCAAGAAAGTAAATTCCAATTCCAGTGGCTGCAGCACTCACCTAAGATGTGGAGCGCATGTGAGTGCTGTAATCACATTTGGCTCTTTGGCTTGTCATGAAGATTCAGTCTCTTCCATCACATTTTTCCAGGAGTGGGAAGAACTCAGCTGCTAAAGTGGCTCTGGCCAACCCTGGACATGGTCTGTAAACCTCACATGCAAACACCAAGGCTGTTACGCTCTCTTTTTCATCTGTCTGAATGACTATTCTATATTTGATTTACATCAAAATTATCATTTGGTTTATTAATATTTAATAATATTTGATGCAACATTTGATTTATATTAAAAATTATTTGATATGGGCATTGTTGGATTGTTAATATTAATCAAGTATTACATTTGGTGTTGGATCTTATAGCTGGAATGAAGGAGTTGCAGCTGCGGAGGGGAAAACCCTGGTTAGCACAGTATACAACAATATCACATGGATCAGAATTAACTCAGGCCCTCTATTAATCCCACTTTTGCATGGCATTCAAAGAAGGGTATTCATATTTTGGTGAGTATGGGCTGCATGTTGTCCTGAAGCTGTAGCACCTTTGCCTACTTTATTTGAGTCTACCCAAGTATCCTCAAACAGCAGTGACAGCCTTTATTACTGGGATGTTGGGGGACAAGTGGTAGCACAGAGGCAAGACGTGGTTTGCACAAAAGCTCTGTGTTCAAAGTCCTTCCAGGCCTCTCATTAAGCACATTTGCACGAGGAAAGCCCAACTCCTGCCATCTCCCAACACCTGAGAAAGAGAATTTCCAGTACGTGAGGCTGACTATGAGAAAACGAAGCAGCTGCAGAGCAGAGTGACTCAACAACCTTCATGTTGTTCCTCTATTTTCCAGCACCAGCATCCCATTCCAGCATCATCATTGCCGTCTTCAAGGTGGTTACAGATAATCAGGGCCTTGCAAGCCAACCTCTCAGCAGACAAGAAACCAGCAGTTTTGAATCCCAGCGTAGTGTGTTTACTCATGCACAGCAGTGCAGGAACAGCTGTGGAAAAGCAGCCTAGCTGTTGGGGATCTCAGCACAGAGCCCACATGCAGTTCCTAGACAGCAGCTGCTCATCTAACAGAACAGGAGAGGAAGGACATGGAAGCGGTCAAAGCCACAGCTGCTTCTCCCGTTCTGCCCTTGCTCCCTTGAAGTCACAAAACAAGACCAATGCTCAATGATCACGCAACCAGTGTGGAAGGTTATGGGTAACAATGCCAAGTTTTGACATCAGCAATATCTATTTTTTATATCCTTCATTAGTTGCAGAAGGGCATATACCAAACCATCTATAATAACTTTCACTCTTGCACTCTTGTGGGGGAATATTTACACACAGAGAAATCACACTGCCGTTTCACTGGAGCCTGAGATCAAGCAGCTGAATGCATATGCAAAAGATAGATTATGCAATACCAAGAAGGTAAAATTATTTATTAGTTATCCACCACCTTTGGTGAGCAACAAAGACACGATAAAAATACAAGAAATAATCTGTGAATGTCTTCACTTACAGTAGGACAAGGTTCACGATCAGTGCAGAACTGGAACTGGAACTGGAACTAGAACTAGAACTAGAACTAGAACTAGAACTAGAACTAGAACTAGAACTAGAA